TGGGCTACTCTTTTACCAACGAATAGTGGGATTGACCGTCACATTATAACGCCCCCAGGTTGACGTATTAAAACATATTCTTCTTCTTTGATTTTACTCATAGTTTCTAAGAATTACAATGTATATAATAATTACGTTATTTGTAGAAAATCACCACTAGATGACGCCCCTATAGATAAATACGAAAATGTTTCTGTGGTAAAACTTGCTCATAATTTAAAGTGTTGGATGAGTAATAGCCATACTTGAGTGAAATGATGATTATTTCTTAAAAACTAATTATACTTAAATCGTATAATTTGTTTATTTGCCCACAAGATAAATTTATAAGATTTTGTTAAATTAAAAAGTAAAGTACATTTTTAGAGGTATTTGAACGGTAAACTTTTTTACTAATCTAAATGACATAAAATATTCTTTGTTTAATTCACGCAGCACTAAAACATTTTAAATTAGTCTGGAACAACTTTATCTTCGTGCAGTACATTCTCTGACAATATACACAAGCAAATCAAAAAAATTATTGAATTAATACATTTCTTGTTATAATTGTAAACGTAGCGATCAATTGAAATACAAATAGTAATTTTATTAATGAACATTACATAAAAATCACGGGTTTTCTTTTAAAACCAGGATGAACGTTAAAGAACAAATTACATATACACTACAAAATTTTCCAATAATTCGAAACATTAGCAAATTTCCATTTTAAAGTGTATTGTGATTTCCAGAAACCTCGCTATTCTTTATGTGATATCATTATTAAGTACCTGTTCTAATGCATAATAATAATATCAACTAATATCTTATATACTTTGAATAGATTACGTTATGGTGTTAGGATACACATAGTTAAAAGGGTGGTCACCCTGTATCACTCGAGTCGCACGTGGCTCTTCATTGGTCGCAGTTCGGCTTTTTGAACATTTCTAACATTTGGGCAGATAATACAATGTTGCCTATTTTTTATCTAGTTGTACAAATGTTACGTGACAGACGGACAATACCCAATAAATTGTTGAACAGTTGGTTACCGTTATAATTACTTTTAGTCTAAAGTATCAACGAGAAAAACTACTATTGCTTACTATTATTAGCGGCTCATAGAATGGCTCCGAGTGTTTTTTTTTTAGCTCATAGCTCCATCTCTTGACCGATTTGAGATCTAATTACAGCCGCAGCTATTGAGGATTCTCTCGTTGTTTTTTGTTTTGTTTTTTTCTAGTGGCGACTTTTTGTCGGTTGCAAATTATATCTTTCTGATTCTTGAGCTTCAAAAGATTGTACACATCAGCTATGGTATATGAAGGATAATAATCCTTATAGCTCACGATTGAACACAACCTTTTTAAAGACGAAGCAGAATATTTGGCATTAACATTTCTCAGAAGATTATACTTATAGCTAATATTATTAACATAAGAAACCAGAGATCAAATAGTACAGAAGGTATGTCGTGTTTGCATGAGGATATTACATTGTTCAGAAGCTTTAGAATCAGTTATTTCCATTTCTCCATTCTAAGCACATGGTAAGAAAAATAATAAAATCTATGCATATATATGTCAACTGGAATAAATAACTCGACCTGTAAGCACTCACTTGATGTCGATTAGGTTTAAAATACTCGTGATGTGCATGTGCTTTTTTAATTATTATTAACGATATAGGTTCATGGTAAATCTACAATCCTACCTGAGATTCCGGTAACAAGAAATTGCCACTATAATCTGGGGGGTTGAGCAGTGGATGAGGGGAGGGAATGCACGGTGTAGGCGCTCGTCTTTCACAGGGCGACAAATTTCCAGTCAGTATGCCAAAGGGCATCCGGTAAATCCGCAAAGGTTTGCTGCAATCCACGAAACCCGAGTTGTTGACAGCTGAGAGTAAAAAAAGTTTAGGTAGACAAAACCGTTAATAACTCTTAAAATAGTACGCTAGTTCTTTTGATATTATTTCTGAAAATGTCACTAAGCTTTGTAAATACTGTTTTAACTTAATTATAAAGAACATGTATTATAACGAAGAGATGGACTACCATTCAAGCGAGAATATGGGAAAATACAATGAAGAACGTGGGAAAAATCTTACTACTATTAAGTGATTTCCCCAGATTATCGCTGGTTTATAATCCACAAGAAACATGCCACTTATCCTAGGGTCATGAAAATTATTGAGTTAAAATTAAATGTGTTTTGATTGAAAAGTATGTAGCAAATAAAGCAGCAAAGTGCTCGTTCTGCTTGCTTTATGGTATTGAATACTTATCCGGTAGGTTTGTTGTTTTACAGATGGTTGAGTACGTTATACTAAAACGATTTGGAATATGAATATAATCAAGTCACGTTACAAACACAACCGATATAAAGTCGCAGTGAAACGGCATGTATCGGAACTTCATTTCGACGTTATTTGAGATTTCATAGGTAGTGTGATGCCACCGAAAATCAATCGCTTTTTGAATTTTGGAAAGTGTATGCAACAGCCTTTTATAACGCAACTTCTTCATAAAACCATATAATAAACATGTGTTCAGATCGGGCATTTAGAATTTCAAAGATGGGAATATCCTTTGTACTTAATGGCATTTGAAGACAAATGAATGTATGTGAATTTGGGGCACCAGGACCATTGTGTAACAAGTTGTACCCCAGCCAAGATAAAAAAAACAAAAAAAAAAACGTATTGTAACAGGTGAAAATCGATTAAACCAAAGGTCAGTGGAAAAAGCTATCCACATGCCACAGACAACAGTACCCAACTTAGTAAAGAAAAGTCTTCGTCTGGAGAAGGGACACAATCAAGCGTACAAGCGCTGCTTCTACGATATATCCATTCATTCGTCACGTACCTCAAGTAGCTGGAAATTGAAAAGAGCATTCATATTATTTCATATCAATAAATGCTGGTCAAGTTGCTGGGCACAACGCCTATGGATTGCTGTGCAATGGGATTTTTGAAATGGGCGCTGGGTAATCGTCGTCTTCGTACACCAGATTGATTATGGAAAGCCAGCAGGGAGGAGTTGGATGTCTTGAGTATACAATTTTACGACGGGGCCTTTTGCAATAGAAACTATGCTGCAAGACTAATGTTAGGATACAAGGACGTCAAATAGGGCATAACAGATGTGGTGACATGGACTGTAATGACGTGGGAATGCCACAAAATTGTCTTAAAATAACGTGCTCGACTTCTGTTCAGGATTGGCTTTATCGATTTATAAGTTACTTTGAATTTTGACTTACACATACACATAGCTAGTTTTGACCAGGAGTTTTTAATGATATTGATAACACTGAAATGTGAATCCACCATAAGATACAAGGTTAATCACATTAAAAACTATTATGTTTTTGTTTCCTCAAATATACCATTAAATTATGTTTCTTAAAGTCAGTTAAAACTTTTTTTTCTACTGCACGGAAAAACGTTAAGATAACTAGCATACAACCTTCACCGATTATAATGGTACAACGAAATTCCACTTACAGGAATATTCTTAAAAGGACTGCGTTATGTCTGCCTTTGCAGCAATTTCTCTGACATAACTGCGTTGTGATTGGCTCTCATTGTCTCTAAAAATATATATGTATGTATGAATGTGTGTGTGTGTATATATATATATATATAATAAAATTAACGTTTTTATATTACAAATGCTTCTTCCTCCTTTAAGAGATTAATAATATTAAATTAAGAGCAATAGCTACTCTTTAATGAAGGTTTTATCTCATAGTTAAACATAGAATTAGCTTAAAATGTTGTCGTTAAAATAACTAACATTATGTTTTATCACTATATATGTATATACGTAAAATTTTAACATGTTTATGATCTGTATTGTTTCTTGAGTAGTTATAATACTGTTATAAAAACAGATCACTTGTGTGACTCTAATAGAAGGATCGATAAAAAGAGCCAATCGTAACGCGGTCCTGTTATGGATATTCGTGTAAGGGAAATGTCGCGGTATCGTTCTCTTCGGAACATACAAACTCACCTTAGATAACAAAATACATCAACCAGCTGAGAATTGTCAGTTCTCATTAACCCAGCTAGATCGATATCAGAAATATCACCTGGTTGCGTGAATAGACGGGAAATGGCTTGGTGTAGTTAGCTGGAAAAGTTGAATAGTCTATAACTTTCTTTGGTGAAATTACAACAGTAAGGGTGCATATCGCCACAATACTCTGACCCGTTCATATCTAAGAAATTAATTCGCTGAAGATTTATCCGAAATCTGATAATTGCGAATATGAAGTTTTTTGGGTATTTTCTAAATTTTTATTTGTTTGTTGTTAAGCATACAGCTACACAATGGGCTATCTGTAAGTTCATGCTGAGGGCTGAGAATCGTTTATAGTTCTTATAGAGTTGATTCGATAAAGTATGAGATGATAGCCTTCTATTTTCAATGCATAATATTTAAAATAATGTTGAGAATTTGTACGCAAACACAGCGTACAAATAAAGGAACCAACAAATAACATCAATATTTGTCGCTAAAGGTGCTTTTAACTATAAGTACCTTGTCCAGGGGTGTCATGCGGACAAAGTTTTATTTTGGGAAATCACTGAAACATCCTGCAAGTTATACAAGTTGATATTTTATTTGATAATGCATCAGTTGCTACAGTATTGAAATGTCGATAATAACGGAAGTATACAGATAATAATGATAACATTAATAATAATAGTGAATGGAGCAAATTGCCAATTGCTGATGCTACATATGCTATAAAATGTCACACTAATCGTTTTTTTTATATAAACTATAAATACAAAACTCCAATACATCTAGAAACTAAACAGAGAAATAAAACTTGGGGAGGGGTCAAATAGCACGATACCCCTGGCTTCATCCATTTTGCTTACGGCTGAGCCACCGAATGCTTATATTTGTTATACCTAGCCAAGGGGTTGTTGTAGTTGCATACGTTTTTCTGTGGTGTGTGTAGATATTTTATAAAATATTCGACAGACTTCAAATAAATATATAGTATCTAAACTTAATCATTACTTGATAAGCAGTAACTAAATACAACCTGCGACGGTATACACAGCTTATAAATTATGCAACTTGGCCAGTGTACGTTGTTCATACCATGAATTATTACAAGATGCTCTCTCTCTCTAAATATTTTTATTTTAAAACACAGAGGTCGCCATGACCTGAGTGTATTAATATTTTGACTGTTAAATACCATTCCCCAAAGCGACCAATTTACGGTGGTATCACACTTCCTACTAAACTACAATGTCAAAATATAGTTCTGATGCATTCCGTTCCACCACAATATTATATCGTCTGTGATTTTCATGTGACTTGCTGATTTGCATATTACAAATTCTCTTAATATAACGTACTCAACCCTTTGTAGACACAAAAAATATCTTAAAACAACCTTTCATTTACGTGTACGACCATTTGTATCTGACTTTTACCACAGTTATTAAGGACAATGTAAGTGCACACAGGAACACAAATGAATAAATAAATAGTTGTTATCTCTATACATATTATTTGCCAAGTGCTTAATATATAAGATAAAATCATACTCGTACAATACGGAACTATGCATTAAATATATATTCATACTCATACAATACGCAACAATGCATTACATATATGTTCATACTCATACAATACGCAACAATGCATTACATATATGTTCATACTCATACAATACGCAACAATGCATTACATATATGTTCATACTCATACAATACGCAACAATGCATTACATATATGTTCATACTCATACAATACGCAACAATGCATTACATATATGTTCATACTCATACAATATGCAACAATGCATTACATATATATTCATACTCATACAATATGCAACAATGCATTACATATATGTTCATACTCATACAATATGCAACAATGCATTACACATACTATATGTTGGATATATCTTTTTAATTAGAGGAAGCTCGTGAATTCAAATATGATTAGCACAACATCAACATAAAAGTTTCTATACAATAAAAATAAATATACAAAGTGAACATTCAATGGTGGCTACATACTCTGCTTTAAAAGTTAAGCCATGTGTTGTGTTTTTCATAGTTTTCTATTTTTCGAACTATCGTTTGTTTTGAATTTCGCGCAAAGCTACACGAGGGCTATCTGCGCTAGCCATCCCTAATTTAGCAGTGTAAGACTAGATGGAAGGCGGCTAGTCATCACCACCCACCGCCATCTCTTGGGCTACTCATTCACCAACGAATTGTGGGGTTGACCGTCACATAATAACGCCCCCACGGCTGAAAGGGCGAGCATGTTCGGTGTGACGGGGATTCGAACCCACGACCCGCAGACTGCGAGTCGAGCTTCCTAACCACCTGGCCATGCCGGGCCACCGAACTATCGTAAAGCGAACTTAAAGAACAAAACATTTAAAATCCAGAGAAAAAAAAGAAATAAAAAACATACACTTACAATGAGGAGACAGAGGAGGAGAGAGACTGAGATCTCGGTCCATCTTGTCGACTTTCACCCTCTCTTGTCGAATCTGAAAGAATTCTGGAGCTGTGCTAGCAAAAAAGATGTCGCTCTAGAATACAAAAAATCGGAAAATAGTTAACTCAAAAGTTATCTGAATGTGATAAACTGGAAAAAGAAAAGAAGTGAGAAGAGGTAGAGGTAAGGTAACTTAGGAAGAGGAGCGATGGAGTGAGGTAGGGTTGGAGGAGTCGTGATGGTATGTTCTAGATGCTTATGGAACAAAAGTAGAAGCTCAGAAATAAATAAACAGCATTTATGTACATTAGGAAGAGTTGAAAAGTGAATATATATATGTATATGAGATCTAGTGATCTTTATGCAGTTATAACCAATTTATGATACATTTCCATAGTCCATACAATTCTTTGACATGTGATCTAGAGAAAACTGTATTATTTTTCGGCCAAGAGATCTGCTACAGCAAAAAGATTTGTCGGTTGAAGAACAAGAAAGTGGTAGGCACATCGATCAGAAGGAACATGTTTAAAATATAAAGTAAATTGATAACATAAAACTATAATAGGTTCTCTGTATTCAGATTTAGACATTGAAAACAAAATATACTACAGCGCTTACCTTCGAGGTAATGGCGGTCAGTTTTGGCATCGCCATATTGTGAATAAGATTTCCGTTTATAATAAGCCGAATCTCGATGGTGTCCGTAGTGAAGGCCATAACATAGGGAAAGGCACACACTATAAAAACAAAAATACACTCATAGTGAGGACCAAAACACTGAAAGATGTCGTAGTGAATACCATAACATAGAGAAAGGCATACACTATGAAAACAAACATACACGCATGGCGAGGATCTAAACACTGAAAGATGTCGTAGTGAATACCATAACATAGAGAAAGGCATATACTACGAAAACAGACATACACGCATGGCAAGGATCTAAACACTGAAAAATGTCGTAGTGAATACCATAACATAGAGAAAGGCATATACTACGAAA